CCTCATGGGACCCGATCCAATGGCGGAGTTCACGATATAGCTCTATTGGTACTAGTCAATGTAATCGATGGGGTGAGTATCTTTCCTCACACCCCACAATCAACTATACTTTACTGATCATGACTTCCCATATTCGTGGTAGTGGCAGTGTGAAGAATGTTGTTACTTTTTAGTAGATAGCTTACTGATACAATGACAATAGGTCTACGATTACTTAGATTTTCTCGGTTGTCTGATTAGAAGTCACAAACAACAAATATATTGCAAAAATTAACTGATTAAAAATTCCAATTGAAATTTCCAAAGGATGGATACTGAACAGAGAATATTCGTTTTGATAACCTCTTCTTCATCAGGCTCTACAGTTATACATGTAGATTATAGTGAATAAATGAATTAGTGTTATGAACAACATCAATGTCGCGGTTTAAATAACATCGAATCAGTAATGTTGATAGATTACAGCTCAATAGCATCAACATAAAATAAGCTGAATGTCAGAAAGGCAGATTAGGAAAGATAATATTACAAAATCATGGACGTATAGTCTCCACTGAAGGCCAGTCAGGGCAGTAGAAGGGTTGGCTGGACTTGCTTCTTTTGAACACAGAGACCTGGTTGTTTGAGGCGACTTGCAATAGCCTCTGTTGTTTGGAGTATGCGGTGCTTCGATGATGATTTTGGCAATTTATTAGGCACCCGGTAGATGATGATAGAGAAGGATTCTTCTATGCTGGCTGGCTTTGTGGCCGGCCGGTTTGCACCAGATGGTCCAATATCGAACTGTTAATGGTCTAAACTACACCTTTACTTAGCCATAGTGGGAGATGTTTTCGAGCGAGCCCGAAAAGTCAAGTTCTCAGAGCAACGGCCGATATAACTCGCTCCACCACAAGCGCAGTTGAATTAGTAGATATAATTTGAAGTGGCTAGTCTATTCTAGGAACTTCATCTTTCAGTCGAGGTAACACCATCGGGCGTGTAGAGAATAGGACGTGTAGTTCGCCAGCATTTAAAGTTCTTTGAACTGATTTTCTTAATTTCCTTGTAATTATCTCACTTGGTAGTATACCGCCCTTGAACTGTAGTCGTATATAAAGTAGCTTCTTGTTTGCAGATAGTGAGTAGTCCTTTTCCACCGCTTTCTTTGTCATATGTCCCTTGATAAATTTTTCAGGATAGCCATTTTCGATCAAAGTTTCATATACAATGCTCAATTCATCTTCAGTTACTTCTTCTGAGCATATAGCTCTAACTCTGTTGCTGATTTCAGAGACAAATATACGCTTTTCTGACAACCTACTAAAATTGTTTCCTATTGGGGTTTCGGTAGATCGATGGCCTTTATTGAGCGCAATGTCATTCGACGGGCTTATCACAGGCGCGTTCCCAATCCATCTCCACTTCTTATTCTACATGCTGGTTGAGAAGTAGGTTGTTGGTCAGTTTGTTCCCATAGTTTCTTGTTAATAATAATTCTTTCTGGCTAGCAGTTTAAGCTCCAATATGGAGTCAGAGAAATGGGGTAGCTATTCATGAAAGTCTGCAATAGGATGTTGTTCTTTCTGCTGAGTCAGGGCAAAAGATTTCCGAATTGATTTCATATTGTTGAAGGTGTATCTCGCCTTTCTGATCCAGCCTTTTGTTAACATCTTCATCCATCCTTCCACTTATAGTTGAAACGAGGCATCCTAGATATGAGTGATTGAAGTAACCTGTTTCAAATTTCTCCGGTAGAGAGTGATTGGTGTTGGTTGTTTTTGGTGTTTTTGGTTGACCAAGCATCTCCATCACCCCTCCATCTCCTCTAAGATCACTTAAAGTCCTGTCGTTGCTGGCTGCTTCTTCAGCCAGATTTCGAGAGAAATGAAACATAATTTATCCGTGATATGGGAGTATTCTTCTTTGTCGAGCATATTCTTATCTTCTAACTCCCCATTCGGTATTGTCTTCCGCTAAGACCATTCGACCATGATTAGGAATATCAATGTTGATAATAGGCAGCCTTATCTTGCTACTGTATTCCCCTCAACACATTCGGTGAGTTTTCCATTGTCCACAACCCGACATTTGGCATTTTCATATAGCTGTTGGATAAGATTGATAGAGATTTGAGGCACCTAGCCTAGTTTTCTAGCCTGCTGATTTTATAGCAAGTCCTAATACATGAAAAGGGATGGGAGTAGGGCTTATGGTTAGCTATCCCACCCCAGAAAATCGATCAAACTGCTTTAGATTCTTCGACACTGAAGAAAAAAATATTACTAAGCTTACTACACACACACAATTATGTCCATATTCCAACATAGACGCGTGTCCGGTACATTATATTTTGAAACGAGTTAAGTGGTGAAGGGTTTTAGTTATCTGGAAATTGTTCCCCACTGCTGTTGCATCATCATAACACGTTCCGAAAAATAACTTAGTTTTACATGCAGATATTGTTATGAAATAATATTCATGACACATTCTGATTATTTTCGTTTATGTTTTTGTGTTACTTATGAGTAGTAGTTAATTTGTTACACAGTGGAATTTGATCTGCTCATTTGTCGGTTCACGAAGTATCACTTATCCATTTACTCTCCAGTAAATATCAAGCTCATTTTATGGTTGACATACAGCGATAAACTGTACACTTGAAATGGAGAACAAGTTTATCACTGATTTCCTCAACGTGATTTTATATCAAGGAGGATAGATGGTACTTTTGAAGAGATAAGTTGACAGAAATCTGTCATGGAATGGTCAGCTGACATATGTCTACAGCTCTGAGTACGCCTTGGTCGAAAACGAAACTTGATCCGGTCACCTACCACCACTCGCATTTAGGGCATATGTATTGATGATGCTTCTGTGGAGGGACAGCTGAACCTGCCACCTTTTATTAGACAAGATGAGACAGTGGAAACCTATGCAATGTGAGTTGACGTCAGTAACCAAGAAAATGTTGTATATGTCCAAACCAAGTTCACTTTTAACAGTTTGAGAAAATTTTGGCATTGGGTATATGATATTTATTATAATAATAAAGGTTTTTGTATTTCCCAATGAATGAAAACCAAAACGATATTGTCATTGTTTTCACTGACGTTTCGCTATTTATTGCTGCTGCTAATAGCTTTATCAAAGTACTAATATTAAACGGGAATTTACAAAATCCAGTCAGCATATATATATGTAACAGAGAGTTAAGAGGTGAGAACATCGACAAGTTAGGTCAAGCTAAAGGGATGTATAGAAAGTCAGAACAGCAATGAAGTCACTAAACCAAATAACAAAGGGTTATAGTACGTCAGTTATGATATCGAAACAAAGTTTAATAAGTTGATCTTCGTTCTTCTGTCTGGGATTGTTTTTTTTTGTTGCCGACTTGGTCAATTGGTAAAGATAACAAAACCAGGTGTGCAGATTCGATCAGTGTGTAAAGTTAAAAAAGCAGTGTGTGTTTACATAGTGAACTTGCTTATCACATTCGTGTTGATTTTGTCACTTCGTTGGGGAGGGGAGGGAGGTGTTGTAACCAGGTCAGATTCTGTTTTAGTCCATCATTCATATTCAGTTGAGAAAATGTGGATTCCACTTGATGATATGAAGTGCTTCTGATGATATGAGACGTTCTTTGTGATTTCTGAAATGCCTTTTCTAGATGATGATTTCAATATTGTCAAAATCAATTTTGTGGCCTGATTCTATAGCGTAGCGTGAAGACGAGCTGTGGCTGATGATTTTTCAAGTTTTTCTAGTTCACTAACTGGATTTCTCGGTGATTGGTCGAACAGATGCTCTCCGGTGTTCATTTCTCCTGATTTTAATTTCTGGAGATGCCTTTCCGATGTAGATCGCATCACATTCCAAGCAAGCATTTTATTTTATAGACACAGTTGTTTTGAAGTGTGTCTGATGTTTTCAAGGAGACTCTAATGTCGAGCTGATTGAGTACTCTTCTGGGTAGTTGTTTTGCTTGAGAGTTTCAGTAATGTTTGATATTTCTTCTTCATTTTCTTGCTCATCCATTAACACCAGAGAGTGTGCTGGTCTAAGAAGACTTGAAACAACTGAAATCTTTCCACTGATGGGGTGTGATGATTTGAAGTCTAAATATTTATTGGAAAATGCCTTAGATGAACCTGGAATTTAAAGTTTGCTAAGCTCTCGATATCAATAAAAGAAGGATCTAACAATCGCTGGAAAGAACATTCTCTAATGCACCGTTGAGAATAGCATTCCCTAGTCAACATGAAGGATATGATCCTGGGGCTTATTCGAGATTTAAGGCTGAACACCGTAAAGCAACTACCATTAGATGCTTATTTTTTAAATAGTATGTAGTATAGACAGGGTGTAGACAGTTGATCCGAAAAATTTTTATATGAAAAGGAATTATTTCGTTGGCTTAGAATATGCTAATAATAGAGTCCTTCTCGGTGAAGATGCTGACAAAATGCAAAGCCTTCTGAACACCGCGAAGAGCAGTAACCTTCGAATTTTTTCCTATAAGATTCACCCCTATGAATTGTAATGTGATGCTACAGGACTGGATCGGACTACATTGACCTCTAGCTTAAAGGTAGGGAGTGAAGTGGCGACTGAGTGTGTTAACTACTGCACTCATTTGAAGGGAAGTGGCATCAGCTAACGACAGAGGGTGGATCGCTGACGAAACTGCAGCACGGATATAGATGGTCTATTTGGTATTTTCCTGCCAAATCACTCCATCTCTAACACAGACGTAATCTCTAGCTACCTGTCCACCAAAGGACGTGTGTACTGTACAGCAACAATTCGCTTCGTCTCTCTTGATGGCTGGCTGTAATGGAGAGACATGACTACTGAAAATCGGAGATATCAGAAGACCAGCTAGCTAGCTTTAGCTTGAAGCCTTATGTTCCACTGGGAAGGTAGGCCACAAGGAGTTTTTCTCTGAGTAAGCTGGTAAGCTTAACAAACACTTATGTATATATTTATATTCCAATTTTCACATTTATTTTTTCATTTAGTCCAATCGTGTGACGAAGACTGGGAACCATGTGATTCAGAAGTGTGTATACCGAAGACATCTTGGTGTGATAAAGTAATCAATTGTCCACAGTGGCAAGATGAAGGAGCTCACTGCAAAGAAGAAGGTAGGCTGACCTCTTTCGATTCATAGTTTATTCCTTTATGTAATATAAATGCAATGCATGGGAAAAACACGCAATAATATTTGTCTCGTTATTATTATCATCATCATCATCATAATTCCCTTTGGTTCTGAGTGGCGTATAGGGCTTTAGCAGCACCATCTGTATTTCCTACTGCTTTCTGAAGTGTCACCTTCAGCTGGCTGGCTGACTCCACGATAGCCTTATTGGCTTCCATGTCTATCTCCTGCTCACACTATCACCGTCAATGTCACTTAAAAAAACCACAGAGGATTTTGTTGTTTCCTGTCCAGGTTCCTTTTGAAACGATTGCCTGGTCTCGTTGGAGCGTGATACCCAATCAATGGTCTCTTCAGCGAGTATCCCATTCATCACCACTTACTTCAGTATATTTGTTGGATGATGAAACGTTGTTGGCTTATCCTATCTGGTTGGCTATCTGATCTTCATTATAGAATCGGTCAGCAAAGGCGGCTACTGATACAAGTCTGGAGTAGCCTCTCGAGACTTTTCAGAAGTGAGTAAACACGACCCTACCAGGAAATAGAACCAGAATCTTTACATGTTAAGAGGCCCAACAAGCTATCCATTCAGCCACATAGACTGGTCGAATTCAATGACTCCTGAATGCTAACTTTATCCTCATCAATGCTTTCAATGAGCCTTGATATACTGGATCTCACTGGCCACGACCTTTTGTAACAATAGAAGACAACAGTTGGGCAACAGATCGTTTATTGAAAAAGGGTATATGGGTTTTTATGTACATTATTATTGACGTTATTGTTAGCAGAGAAGCAACGTCTTCTGATTGGTTGTTTTCTTGCTGAAGCTTATTCTGTACTGCTCGTTACCGTTTCTAAGAAAGTTAAGCCATATTTCTGCAAATCGTATTTTTGCACGCTAAATCTGCTGTGATTGGTTGTTGAGTTCATTAAGGTTGGGTTTTGTTTTTGGTTTTTCTCATGATCTTGATTCGGGACGTAAACATTGACGTAAATTGGTGTTTACAATTTTCGGCTTGCAGACAGCTCTCACCACACTATCATTGCATCTTCAGGATATCGCTCTCCGAATAAGGATCAATCTGTTGGAGATTGACATTTAAATTATAGGATTTTTGAAGATTTCAATTAGAATCCCCACGAATCCCGTATTATAATTGTAAATAGATTTATAATACATTGGCGTCTATTATCGCCAATGATCTTCCTGATTGAAGTAGACTGGATAATGCGACAGACAGACAACGGGAAATGAGGAAACAGGCATAGAATGGACTCACACAAAAAGAGAACTTGGAGGATCTGGACTTCACCGATGATGACATATGTCTGATTTCCCACAAACTGGAAGATATGCAAATGATGAGAAGCAACAAGCTGGCGATAGAAGAAGCATCCAGAGAAGATAGGACTTCACTCCAGGTGAACATAGATAAAACAGAGGTGATGAAGATTCCTGACCAACACCAACAGCAACAGTAACAACAACAAAAGATGACAGTCAGCCAGCATAAATGGGAAGAACCTGAAAGAAACAACTTCTTTCACCTACCTGGGAAGCATCGTCTCAACTACAGGCGGAACTGACGAGGACATCAAAGCCAGAATCGGAAAAGCAAGACAAGCTTTCATTACTCTCAAATCTGTGTGGAGGTCAACAGCACTCAGCATGAAAAATAAGATCCGGATTTTCAACTCCAATGTGAAGTCAGTGCTACCATACGGATCAGAGACCTGCACTGCGCGTCATAAAGAGCACCTCAAACAAACTTCAGACCTTCATTAACAGTTGTCTTCGCTCAATACTTAAGATCAGATGGCCGGCCAGAAAAGATCAGTGAGCGAACCAACCCAGCAGGAACCGATTGTGAAACAAATAGGCAGGAAGAAATGGAGATGGATTGGTGGCCATACTCTGAGGAAACAAACCATCAAGTGACATCACTAGACAAGCCATCGCTTGAGTGGAACCTGAAAGGGAAGCGGTGGGTTTGTCGTCCGTGCAAGAGTGGGGTGACTTGGAGGAGTTTATGTGAGGAGGAGATGGAAGCATGTGGTCAAACTTGGAGCGGGGTGAAAAAGTTGGCAGAAAACAGAAGGCAATGGAGGTGCCCAGCTGACTCCCTACGTCTTTCTAGGAATTAAAAGATATAATAATAATAATAATAATATAAAATTAAATACGACTGTACAGAATTTGTTGAAAAGTGGAATAATTTTCTCCTCTGTGTCATGTCTTCCTTTGTTTATGACGAAAATTATGGAAATTTTTCCCTTTGGGCTAAAGAATTTTCTGCAAGGCTGAAGACACCAGCATACGAGGAAATAATTTAATTTAATTTTGGATTTTCCTGTCCACTGATTGGACAGTAGTGCTTGGTCTCAGGTCAACATATTGACTCCTTGTTCAGATACTTCAACGATGTTTGCCCATATAACTTGAAGTCAACCTGCGGATGGTGACTAGCAGTGGAATCCAAATTGGGCGTCGGTGGGAACATCATCACTCATTGGGGAATGCAAGTACATCCTGCTAGCTGATGAGCCCCAAAGTAGAACGAAATGCGCATCCTGGATTCTATTGCTATTTATCACCCACCCACCAGCAACTGACCTCAAGTTATGTGACTGGACATTGTTGAAGCATCTGCACAAGGAGTCAATAGCATGCCAATGTGAGGCCAAGCACTTTAGTCCAATCCGTTGATGGTGAAATCTAAAATTGAATTAAATAATTATTAAGACCCGTTGCATAAGAGATGATTAAAATGAAATGCTGTACAATTGTGTATATATATGTATATATGGCTTTTAAGAAATTATATCCGGTGAGGGAATTAGGTCAAAATTGGGAATACATGAAATAATAATAATAATAATAACAGTATGAAATGCAGTTAAAACATTTGTGATTATAATCACCATAGAAAAGGATCCCGAACTAAGTATTCCATTTCTTCATATGTGCCTTAGCAGATGGAATAATGGATCTCTCAAAAGATCTATCTACCGAAAACGCACATGGAACAGAAAACTAACTAACTTGTACAGCTGGATGACTATTTCCAAGAAAAAGGAACCTAATTCATTCGCTCTGCTTTAGGATAAGGACCATTTGTAGTTCTGATTGCGCTGACTCACAATTTGACTTCTTAAAAGTCACATTCACAGAAAATGGTTAGCCTAACCGATTTATTGACAGCAACATGACAGCGCAACATTAGCAGTCTAAACTGGTCACCGACTCAGTTCCAAAGAAAACCTTATTCATGAATTTGGAATTCAAAGGTGATCAAGCTTCCTTCAGATATGCTCAAAAATCGTCTCTCTAAATCAGTCAGTGTAAGAAGTTCCCTGCAGCAAAATTACATATGAGGTTCACTAGCCGTAAATTGTTCTCTACCTCTGTAAAACATAAGCTCCCCCGTCTGACCGCCTCCATGTGCATCTATCAGTTCACCTGCTCTTGTGGGGCGACGTACATTGGCCGTAGTCAGAGGACGTCGCTTTCCACACGGATACGAGAACATACTTCAGCTTGGTTTTACAATGGGGAAAGGAAGTGTGTGCGATGTTCTACTCTGAAACACCTGATCGACTTCTGTCACTATGTCAACGCTGACCATGATTTTAAGATCATATATAGAATCCATGCTAACCTGCCGGCCGCGTTTTCTTCGTTACAGACTTCTAAAGACAGCTGAGGCCTTGGCAATTCATAACTTTAAGCCAGATAGGCCTTTGTGTACAAAAGAAGTATGTACAATCCCTACTTCTGCCTTGGCCGCAGAGAGATAGACATTTATTTATTTTGTTTATTTAGTTATTCTATGTACTTTTCCCTTATTACTACGATTATTATTATTACCATTCTCACTTTGAATTATTTTCGCTTGTCCCACATGTCATTTTAAACCCAAAATTATTAATTTTTATACTTTTATTTTTACAATATTGAATTTTCTCTTATCAAATTTCACACCATATTATGTAACGTTTCATATTCGTCTACTAATCTTATAATTATGTACCCCTTTCTAACATCTATACACCTTAAGTATTATTCTATATATGACATTAATTATTTTGCCACTTGACATTAAACTATGATTATAATCACAAATATTTGAATTGCATTTCATACTGTGGTGAGAGCAGGCCGTGAGAAAATATGAGCAAGGCTGATTTAACAACCAATCACAGCAAAGTTAACGTGGCAAAATATGATTCGCATATAGAGAACTCTATTTGTCGAGGAATCGCGAAACAACCAATCAGAAGCCTGCGTTTGTCTGCGTAACTTCTGATAAACAACCAATCAGATGACTGCGCTTGCCTACTTGCATAAGCTGTAATAATGTATGTGAAATATGTATAAATACGTGTTTATTTTCATAATAAAACGATCTGTTGCCTGGCTCTTGTCTTCTGTTGTTACAATACTACTACTATTATTATTTCATGTATTCACAGCTTTGACCTAATTCCCTCAACGGATATAATTTCTTAAAAACTATATGTGTATATATACGATTGTACAGGTTGATATTAAATTCATTGTTGAAAAGAGTCTCTTCGCTGAAGAATATTGTGTTCTTAATGCTACAATAGGAATTATTAAATTACAATGAAATGATTTGCATATATATGTGTGTGATACTGAACAGTCCTGAACTGGGATGAAGCAGACATCCAATAGTCTCTAGTCATCTCAGCTTTTGCTTAATTAAAACATTTTTATGATTTAATGTGAAATTTCCTTATTTTTTGTGTTCTTTTATTCTGTCTCTACGAATAAAGATCCTGATGCACTTGGTCCAGATGGTCGACCATTACATGATTCTGGTAAAAGTAGTTATGAATTACGGAAAGAACAAGAACATCTTGAAGCTGAAACTGAACGTCTCGCAGCACAAACATTACATCTTTCGATATTGGCTAGTTTAGGCTTATTATTACTCATAGTTACATCAACATGTATCAGTAAGTTTGATCGATTTGTTGTTTTTACTCTTATCGATTTACTTATATGTCTGTTTGGGTGTGTGCTTATGTAAGTTAGTATAGAGATGAAGAAGAAGAAGCAGCCAGCGAAGACAGGACTTCAGACGAAGAAAAGTGGAGAAGGCCGACGTGGTTAAGATAATCTATTACCATGAAAAATAGGCACCAATCACTACCAACGACCGTTTCACTATTCTAACCAGTATCTTTTCAAAACTACAGGTGATAGCATTATTATTATTATTGCTGTTTCCTTTAATTCCTAAAGGAACATAGAGCTTCAGCCGAACGTTTCCACTGCGTTTGGTTCTCCGCTAACGTTTCCACCTGGTTGAAAAATACAGGAAGTTCAGCAAAGATGACTATCTTTTCGGCGATTTCATTCTCAAAAGCAGCTGTACAAACGCATTTTATGACACAGTAGTTTACATGGATACAATTATTATTTGTTTAATTAATTCCACGTAGTAACGAAGGTGATAATAGTTTTCAACTTGATATGAAAGTTTGAAGGTAGGAATATAGATGATTACAAGGGGCTTAGAGACATACAAGATTGCATAGGATTAGAAAACAGTTAAAATGTATGCAAAAAAATTAATATTTGATAACTGGAGAAATAATTTTAAAGGCGAATCAACGGTGATAATTATTTTCAACTTGATGTGAATTACAAGGGGCTTAGAAATGCAGGGATAGAACGAATTACAGATGTGAACAAAATGAGCATGGAAACAAATTGAAATCAAAATTTTCAACCTAAAATGTAAGTTAGGCGGTGTGAATATAGATTACAAGAGGCATAGAAACAAAAAATTACACAGGATTAGAATATAATTATCAAATGGTTATTCTAAACGGATTACAAGTATGAACAGGAGGAGCATGGAAACAAAATAACTGATTTTATAACTGGAAAATGAAATGGGATGAATTGAATGAAGGCAAAGAGAGAAAATTACACACACACAGATAACAAAACAAAAAAACTGAAGGATTAGGGAACATACCGAACTAGGTCCATGGTAGCTGTAAATGCTGGACTAGTTTATTTTGAACACATAGCTCTGGCTTTTTGATGCATATGGCGAGAGCTTTCGCGGTACAGAGAAGTCGAAAACACACTGCCTTTTGTAGATTTTTGTTTACCTTGTTTTGTTTCTGCCTTTAGAATTATTTCTCCAGTTATCAAGTATTAATTTTTTTGCATACGTTGTAACTGTCTTGTAATCCTATGCAATCTTGTCTCTAAGCCCCTTGTAATCATCGATATTCCTACCTTCAAACTTTCATATCAAGTTGAAAACTATTATCACCTTCGATGGATGGTGGCTAGCAGTGGAATCCAGGATGCGCATTTCGTCCTAATTGGGACTCGTCAGCTGGATGTACCTGCATTTCTCAGTGAGTGATGATGTTCCCACGAAGGCTGACGAGTCCCAATTAGGACGAAATGCGCATCCTGGATTCCCCTGCTAGCCACCATCCACCAATTGTATACAAATCAAATCTCCAGACATCGTCAAAGCATCTGTACAAGAAGCCGACATGTCAACCTGAGACCGAGCACTTCGGTCCAATCATTCGACGAGAAAATCAAAAATTCAATTCAATATTCGTTACTATGTGGAATTAATTAAACAAATAATAATTGTATCCATGTAAACTACTGTGTCATAAAATGCGTTTGTACAGCTGCTTTTGAGAATGAAATCGCCGTAAAGGTAGTCATCTTTGCTGAACTTCTTGTTCTTTTCAATCTAATATTCCGATGGGTATTTTCCATGGTTTTCACCTGGCTCCACGTCTGCCCACATGCTTTTATCTCTTCTTCTTTCCTGCGTGACCTCCTCCATATCACCCTCGCAATGACGACCAGTTCATCGCTTCCCTTTCGGGTCCAATAGAGCGATGACTTAGCGTGTTGTGTCACTCACTTGATGGTTTTCTCAGAGTATGACCAGTCAATCCACCTCCATTTCTTCTTGCATATTTCTAGCACAATTGGTTCTTGCTGGGCTGGTTGGTTCGCTCATTGCCAGAGATCCCTGTTGCTGATCTTTTCTGACCGGCCATCTCATCTTGAGGGAAATATTGAGCGAAGACAGCTAGTTGTTGATGAAGGTGTGTAGTTTTTTCGAAGTGCTTTTCATGACACGGCACCAAGTCTCTGTTCCATTGAAACGGCACTGACTTCACTAACATTGTAGTTGAAAATTCGGATCTTATTTTGCATAGTGACTGCTGCTGATCTCCACACAGACTTGAGAGAAATGAAAGCTTGCCTTTTTTAATCCCAATCCTTGCTGCTTTGATATCCTCATCAGTCCCGTCCGTCAGTAGATGAAACGATGCTTCCCAGTCAGGTAAAAGAGGATGTAAGCCTTTATCATTCTAAAATCGGTTTGGAAATCTGCCTCACTCTACTTTTACAGCACAAACTATAAAATTCTGATTTTTAACACGAATCTCAAACAAGTTCTTTTCTATGCATCAAAAATATGGCGCAAATTGTCTAAAAAGCATTTCCAACAAGCTGTTGCATAATTCTCATCAATAGCTGCTGCCTTCAGTGTCACCATACTGAAGTTTAGATGGTCTGCAAGAAGGAATTACCAACAAGAAACTATGGGACCTAAAACTATTCAAGAACTTGTTGGTCAACAGATATGAACAAGCAAATGTAAACGGATGCGAAAAACACACACTAAGGAGAGACCGTTGAGTAACAGTGAGCTTCAGGTGATTGCTCAAGTGGAAGATGGATGGATGACATGAATGAGATCGTCATGTGAGAAGGACAGCCGATGGGCATTCGTGGAGCCACCTAAAGTGAATTTCAAAAACAAGAGAAAATGGGGGGGGACCTGGTGCTAGGGACCTAGGAGAATTGATGGCAATAACAGTGAGTATTAAGATAGAGAATATTTGTAGCTCAGGTGGATGATTTTGAGGTGGTTGTGTTATCTGAGCTGGACAGTTGATTTGCGGAGCTTTCGTCGCCTCTACTAGGAGACATCTTCAGCGCATACTTCATTTTGAATTGAAGTGAGCTTTTAGATTTCTCCACGAGTTTATTAATCATCTCTCCTGGTGGATGATCTTAAACGAGATTAGTTGTTTTTCGTGTGTTTTCACACCTTCTAGGCGGCTATTTGTATTGGAACTGATTGTTTCCTGGACTTGACTTGAACTTTGACCCTTTGTGTGTGAGGTTTCTTTCTTATCGGTTGATAAACTTTGTCTATCTCGATGTGTCTATTGATTGATGATTCCCTGGAATAGAGTACAGCCTTCTAAAATTTCTCTAGCATTCTTGTTGTTTCCTCTCTCTAATATTCGAACGCTGGTTGTCCCAGTCGAACTGATGTATGGAGCGGATAACATATCTTTTGACGGCTACTTTATGTTCGTGGATACGAAGATGAAGGGGACGTCCATTTTTGCCAATGTAGTGTTTTTCGCAGCTGTTACAATTTATTTAGTAGGTGATGTTGGTTTGAAGAGTCTAGTAGTGATTTCTGAGATATCCTTTACATATGGTAAGGCGATTTTCTTTGTGTTTTTCTAGGAGGCATTTGGTTTAATAGGTTGGCTTGGGGGTTTATGTCTTTTGATGAAATTTCGTGGATATCCATCCATTCTTTTGGAAGACGTCCATGAGATACTTTTCTTCAATTTTCCTTAAGGTGGGAGTGCTACAATGAGTCCTTGCCCTCTTGAATAGTCTTTGTATGCAATTCCTTTTGTGTTTTATTGGATTGTTGCTGTTGTAATTCAGGATTCGGTCTGTGTGAGTTGAGTTTCTTTAAACTTGAGTTTCTAATTCCCCTGTAGTTGTTCGCTTGTCGAAGACGTCCAAAATCGGATTTGGTTCTCGGATTCTTCTCCTCTTGTGAATTTGAAGACGTTGTTTATTGAGTTGCAAGTTTTATCTAACTCGTTTGTTTTGATTATTACAAATGTGTCGTCGACGTAGCGTATCCAAATCTTGGGTTTGATTTTTGGTAGAATTATGTTTTCGAGCCTTTACATCACTGCTTTTTTATTTTTATTTTTTTTTAATTTTTGATTTACAGCTTGATTCCACACTGTATTTTTGGTACAAGTGTGGAATTTTCAGCGTGGATATCGGTAGCCCAAATTTTGCAGGCCGACCATAGATATCAGGTGTGCGCCGGCGTGGGCTCGAATCCCGGACCATGTGCATGATCGGCAAGAGTCCTAACCACTGTGCCACCGACGCTTCTGCAATCAAACCTGATATTAGCGATCCCATGGGTGTTCCTTTGACTTGTTCATATATTTGGCCGTTGAATTGGAAGTATGTAGTTAGGCATGGTTTTATACATTCCATCCAGCTTGTGTGTTGCATTTTTGATTGTTGTGGAAGGTGTTCGTCGCTGCTAAGTAATTGCTCCATGGTTTCTTTTGCTAGTTTTTGTCCGATAGAGGTATATAATGCTATCACATCGAAGGATATCATTATTTCTTGTTCATCTGTTTGGATGCTTCTGATTTTCTCCAGGAATTGGATAGCAGAGTTGATGGAGTGATCACAAGATTCCTTTAGGTGTTTTAGTTTTGTGTATTATTCGCTTCACTTCACTTCAAACAGTGTGTGTAATCTTTAGACGTTTCTGATATGAAAACAATTCGATACTGTCTCTGCCACGTTCCAGAATGTTGTAAAAACTTGATATGAGATGACATGACCAGCACCTTATCGCCGGGGATATCCTTGGTATCTCTATATAGCCAAATTATGTATACCTTATCCTCACCGCACAATTTGCACAGATCTGCGTGTTGTGGTATTTCTGGACTTCATATGGTGTTTCTTTATATTTCTTTCACGTTTCCCATATATCTTTGCAACGCTGTATCATTTGCCTTCTCTTAAATCAAATGTAACTTCGTGATATTCGATATTTTTATGCCAATAAATGTCTCTGTATATACTACTGATAAATCCTATCAGTAATACTAGCCATACTATTACATATCTCAAACGGGATAGCGATAAATAACTCGTTTGAAAACCGAATACCTGAATCTTGATTTCAAATCACTTCTGACCCACTACAGCCAGCTCAAATGCAGAGAAAAAGCAGCCTGGTCCCAGACAGTGAGAACAATTGATTCCTATCATATAAATATACATTGCATACAAATGTTATCAACATCAGGAAGTTGTGCCAATAATTAACTGTGATTCAATCACCTGCAAACGTTTGGCTCTCAAGATTGTCTAACAGGATTCTAAGAAACATTTTTCCCCTGGCCGAATGGTTTAAAGTAACCAAGACTGGTTTAAGCTGGTTTTCGGCCTCTTCTACCTGGTTTCAAGACTGTACAACTCTGTATACTACCTACTGGCTGGTATAAGTAGGTGTAAATTACCCACATCAATCACAGTGGTGCTTGCAAGCCAGACATATATCGAAATGGTCTAATTACCAGACGGATGGCTGTTTCGCTCATTGAAAGTTGACCAGAGCTCTTCAGCAGTATATCCGGTTGAAGTTTAAGTTATATTAATATACGTGTAAAACTTGGGCACTGTGGTAGTAAGTAATTCAATATTAGTTTGTTTATTGGATGTAGCACATAGTGAGTGAAACAGTATTATTTACTGGATGACACAGTTTTGAACAAAATTCATCATTGTTCATAATCATATCAATTGTAATCACACGACTTTGAAGTCTGAGTTTTATAGTTTTCTTTGTCTTCTCCTATTCGTCGTCGTATGGATAGTAGAATCTTCCAGATATCCACCTGTACAGGTGATGAATCATTGCTATTACACGTATTCTAGTCAGTCGATTCGATAAACAAAGCTTCTGTTATCAATCTCTCCATCCACCCTGTGACATTAGATTTTAAAACTGCTTTTCATCTTATCCCATCCAGCCTATTGTATGGTTGTGTGTAATTGCATGTGGTGTAGTGCTATAGCTGAACTATTCTCTAGAATTCTTATCTCATTTGGGTCAACCAATCTAGATTTGGCTGCTGGGTTTTTATGCTCGGCTAGTCTGACTGCCCTTGTTCTACTAATAAGGAATCTAAATCATCAGTAGTAATTCTACACAAGGAAGGAACCTCGGAAACCTTAGTGCGGAGAATTTTTAACAAGGCAAGAATAAAAGTGGCATTCAAACCCACAAACTCAATTAGAAATAATCTTTGTCGGTTACAGGATCATTCCTGTGGAGAAACCTATTAAAAAAAACAATTTAATTTATCTAATACCCTGCTGGAATGATTGTCAGTGAGGTCAAATACATAAGTCAAAGTAATAGAACAGGTGCAGTCAAACTATCCGAGCATAAAAAGCCAGCAGCCAAATCTAGATTAGTTGACCCAAATTAGGTAAGAAATCTAGAGAATAGTTCGGCTATAGCACTACACCACATGCAATTACACACAACCACACAATAGGCTGGATGGGATAAGATGGAAGGCAGTTTTTAAATCTAATGTCACAGGGTGAAGGGAGAGATTGATAACAGAAGCTTTGTTTATCGAATCGACTGAGGAGAATACGTGTAACAGGAATGATTCAACACTTGTCCAGCCAGATATTTGGAAAATTCTACTATCCATACGACGACGAATAGGAGAAGACAAAGAAGTTTAAGCTACCCGAATTCATGTTAGCTGACTGTCTGACTACTTTGACGAAATGGTAGTTTAGAGTTTTTAACCGAATTTAATAATTTCACAGTTAATTTCAACTCCATCTAACCTATCTATTAACTCTCAATTTCTTGATTTGTTTTTTCTACCAGTTATGACATTCCGTCGACGACGTCGTGAACAAGGTAGACAAATGACAAAATTCACTGAAGAAACGGTTCAACCATCTTTAAAATTAAATCATAGAAGAGTTCAACGATTAAATCATGTTATGTCGACTGGTGCACTTCTTGAAGCTGATCCATACTTGAAAACACAAAATAATATTACTACTACTAATAATAATAACAATAATAATAAACTTAGACCAATGTTCTCATTATCAAATTCAAGTTTAACACAAGATAATCAATGTTCAACAGATGTTGTAAAGCATGAGCTTAAAAAACCAATTAAAACATCTAGTAGTCGTAATACAAATGTATGGAATAGTACAGATAGTATGAATGCACCATTACTATGGCAACGTAAACATGGTGATGAGACGAAATCATCAACCAATCAAATTTCATATCATAAGAATGACCTTAAAACATCGCTACAAAATAGATTTAGTAAAACAACACCAACACCTCCAACAACAACTACAACTATATCAGATAAATTAGTACAGAAAAAGAATATTACTGATCCTTTATTAATAAGCTATAATAATAATAATATTAATAATGATAATATTAATTCTAATAGTAGAAAATATTTAGGTAAATTTAAATCATTTCAAATTTCAACAGAACACGAAATCTTTGAGTGTATTCCATCTCAATGTGTTAGCAATGCAATCACTTCGATTACAACACTTACCACGAGTACAGGTACGCCTAGTGCCGTAGGTGGTGGTGGTGGTGGTAGAACTAGTAGTCATGCAAATCATCTACCGTCGAGTATGATGATTAGTCCATTGAAAGGTACAACTAATATTCTACGAGGTAAACCGATACACTCATCTTCATCACCAGGTGAAATGTCGACAGTACCAGGCATACATGTATCACATCAAATTTCTTTAGGTGAACAAGGTGGTATACAAAAACGACAGCCGTCAGAACACCACCACCAACAACAACAACAAACCCGACGAATTGGAAATAAAATAGGTTAGTTGGATTTAGAATTCTCTCCTTTTTGTCAATTCAACAGACTTTAAAAAGTTGGTTTGTTAGGATTAAATTTGTTTTTAACAAGTTTGACCACAGATTGATATCAGTTAGAGAACCATTGAAAATCAGTCAGTACTGGACGTCTGACTGTTTCATCCTAGTTTGGGAATCATCATCAGTACGCACCACTGATGTTCTAGTGAGAAGTCGTAACCAGTGTTATCCAACCAATCAAGTGTAAGGATGGATTTCCCACCGATGAAATTGATTAGTGTCAGTCACGCTAAATCACAAATCAGTAGAGGTTAGGATTCATAGGGAGTTGACATTGAATCAGGTTCCAGTGGCTGAATGGTACATGAAGGCAGTTTGCCTTGTAACCGGAAGGTCCTAAGTTCGAACCCACTACTGTAGTGGGTGCGTACTGCCGATGATTCCCAAACTAGGAGGAAGCAGCTGGCTGTCCATTACCCCAGTACTGGTTTTCAATGGTTCTTTAACTGATATCAAACCGTGGTCAAACTTGTAAAAGTTCACTAAATGTTCCATTTCATTGGCAACTGAACAACAGTTGATCCGATGAAGAGATTTCTAAGGGAATTATTGAAACATTTAAAGTTGAAGTGCACACTACTTAGATTCTTGAACTGACTAGTTGTAGGCAACCATGACAGAATAAACCCAAGTAACGGCGTCGGTGGCACAACGGTTGAATGCTGGCAGACCAGACCTCATGTGGTCCGAGGTTCACTTCCCAGCCATCGACGCACTCCTAATCCTCGCTAAGCCAGTAATAAGATTGGTAAAGAGGGAATGTTGGCCATGAGGCTACTGCTACTGAAATTTCAAGCCTCTAGCTTGGAGCAGATCGCTGATCAATTATTATCTTATACTTGATTTGAGAACTAATGACAGACCCAGTCAGAATTTTTACTTTCTGTCAACATACCTGAATCGACTACCAATAATCACAGCTAGCCTCTTGGTGGCTACGTTGAAAACGTCACTGATAGAATTCAGTCTACACCAAACAAGGGATTAAACACGTTGTACTAGTTGCTAACTAATATTCAATCAAAGTTTTCCACTTCGTTTAGATAATTCCATCATTTCTTATCTTCTGACTTGATTGGTAGTAATATTTCCCATAAATCTCTGGTAGTTGGATTGAGTCATTCCCGTTGCATGTGTTGGGCATAGATTCTATGAATAAGGATTCAGCAATCAATCTGTCTCACTCTCTCTCCACCTAACTAGATTACTTCTTAGAATTTTAGCTTTCTTCCATTCTATTGTGTGGCTGTGTGTTATGCATGCAATGCAATGCAATCGGTGAGATTTTTTCTAAATTACTTCGAGGGGTCAATCCTTCTAACCTTACCTTAATTCTTATGCTCTGATAATCTCACTACTCCCGATGTATTATAAGTTTTGTGGTGAGAGCAAGCCGTGAGAAAATATGTACAAGGCTGATTTAACAACCAATCACAGCAAAGTTAACGTGGGCAAATATGATTCGCAGATAGAGAACTCTATTTGTCGAGGAATCCCGAAACAACCAATCAGAAGCCTGCGTTTGTCTGCCTAACTTCTGATAAACAACCAATCAGATGACTGCGCTTGTCTACTTGCATAAGCTATAATAATGTATGTGAAATATGTATAAATACGTGTTGATTTTCATAATAAAACGATCTGTTGCCTGACCCTTGTCTTCTGTTGTTACAGTTTGACCTATATAGTTGACTGAACTCACAGTTATTGCATCACTTGTGAGAAAGGATGGTATACTGTAACAACAGAAGACAATGGCCAGCCAGGCAACAGATCGTTTATTGAGGAAATGTACACGTATTTATATATTTTCATGTACATTATTATAGATTATTGTTAGCAGAAAAACACAGTACTCTGATTGGTTGTTTCTCACAGAAAGTTCACCTTGCATCTCTTTGTGACTGTTTCTTGAATTGCATGGAGGATTTAATCATGAGCTGACATCAGTTTCTTGAATGTCAGATTATCTATATGCTAACTGTATCCGCCTGCGCAAAGTGTTTATTCTCATTTTTCTCACGACCAATATTGGGGGACATAAACATTGACGTAAATTACTGTCTACCAAACTTTAGCTAGCAGCCAGCTCTCACCACACTCGTCACCCCATCAAAGACTTTCGACTGAAGTTGGTTCGGTCTTCTTGGTTCTAGGGGCTTTGCTCGTTTGTGTTACTGTCTGGATTCTCGGCACTCACTGATGTTCACCTGTTTCCCTTTGCTCACCATTGCAATTGTGTCTGCGTAACCCCATCTCAACGTGACCATATGTATTTGCCTGACCCTGTCGCACATTCGTCAGTATTTCGCCTCACACACTTTCATATGCTGCTTTCTCCCGACCTCCCAGCTGCGTCCCAAGTAGCAGCCTTATCTCTGACAGATCTTGAACGCCACTCAACTGCGCAGAAGCCTCGAATTCCTGCCCGGAGATCTATATGTCTCAATCAAAAACTGCAGGACATAGGCTTTCCATTTGTCGGTAGGCAGTGACACCAAGTGTAACAACAGAAGACAAGGGCCAGCCAGGCAACAGAGAGTTTATTCAGGAAATCAACAGATGTTTATAGATTTTCATGTACATGATGACAGACTATTTAAGCAAACAAACACAGTCTTCTGATTAGTGGTCGTTCCTCACTGAAAGTTAATCTTTCATCTCTTTGTGGCTGTTTATTGAATGTATCAGATCATCTATATGCTGACTGTATCCGCCTACACAAAATCTGCTGTGGTAGGTTGTTGAATCAGTCTTCGTTCATATTTTTTCTCACGACCACCAATATTGGGGACATAAAAGTTGACGTAAATTACTGTCTACCAATTTTTAAGCTAATAGCCAGCTCTCACCAAAATACTATTTTATTCTGGGTCCTATCAACTTCGTTTTCGCAAAACTGTTTTCTTCATTAAATTGCCTTTTATTTTCTCTCATAATTCAATTGGTGATTTCCAATCTCTTGCTAACGAATTAACTGGTTTGAAATAATTCATCAGTTTCAGCTGCATTTAAGTGGGACACACACTGCCTCTTTTCAAACTTATATTCGCAAACATTTCACAACATTTTTAAATTTCTTTAAATTCTATTCCTTTACGTTCCTGGTGGAGCACAGGGCTTCAAGCTGGACCTCTGAAGTGTAGATGGCATTGGTGTTTATTTTTTACGAGATGGAGTTCGTAGCCCCATTCCCAATCTTCCTTTGTTGCCGGTCTTACTACCGGCTTGTCGAGGTTTAGTACTGCGTCAGCACGAGCACGAGCATATAATCTCTTTTGTACTGCCTTCTTAGTTCTACCAGGTGAGATACAAGAGAAGAGTTGAGAATAGAGGGGCTAGGTGTTGAGGGTCAGAAAATATGGATTTAAACCGTTTCTTGTATCAGTCAAGATTTCTATCAACTAACGTAATGACAAACTGACTAAGTGGCATAACCCCTCACCCCTCACTGACAACCTTGAATATCCCTCTCAAAATGACGTTGTCCTTTTTCAGTAGCCCAGGAAATAATAAGGAGGAGCAATAAAGTTAACAAATTGTAAAAGCAGAGGTTGAGTAATCTCAGATTGTCTTAGCTTCTTAATGTAGAAGCTTAGACGGAACACTTTTTTTCAAGACTGATAAAATATGTGATGACCAAGTAAGGTCAGAGGATAGATAGGACTACACCAAAGTATTTTGTGTTGGACTCAATTTCTATTACAATCCCCCTAGGTTAAATGCACCGTATTTTCGTCACGAACCACCGACGTCAATTAGATAGTTGACTGAAAAACCAGAGAGCACTGAACCCAACTGTTTTGTCTCGTTTTCAGGACTCTTCACCTCTGCCAGGGAAGGGGTCTTCAGGTTTTGACGACGGTAATCTCGTTGACACTATCTTCGTTAACTCATGAAATCATGTTACCCTCATGAATGCCTCCAATGAGCACCAACTTCACACCTTAATATATTTTTCAATAATCTATTGTTTATTTATTATTACTGTTTCCTTGGATTCCGGATGGAATATACGCCTCTAACAACACATCTCCACTTTTTTCTATTTTCTACTCTCCTATTCAACTGAAACTACAACCGTCCATAGTCCCTCATTTCTCCTAACTCGCACGATCTCCTCCATGTCACCCTTGCACCGATGACCCATCTGAGTTCCACTCGAGCGATAACCTGATGCACAATGTCTTTTGACGGTCGCCTCAGTGACATATGCTCAAACTAATCTTTATTTTCTCTGGCACATTTTTCTTCAGCAACAGGTTCTTAGTTACTTTGTTTCCATAGTTTCATGTTATATAATTCTTTCTGGTCATTTTATCTTTAATATGCAGGCGAAGAAAGTGGCAACTGTTGACAAAATTCAGCGGTGGCCTGTTGGAAATGTTATTCATGACTCACTAGCTAAGCTTATGACCTATGTAGAAGGACGGACTGACTTCACAAATAAAAGACAGATTCAGTGAGGAAAATGCTTCTTTATCGACGAAATCATCTTCACAGGCTGACTGTACAGTCGTATTTATGCTTACCACAAAATGTTTAGTGGTTTATTATTGAGTAATAGGAGGCCGGGGTGACATAATTGATATAATTACTCGGAAGTGGCTTTAGAAGTAAAAATAAAATTTGTAAATTACGTAGTACTCAACGGCACAAAGATAGAAATTCGATTAGGCTGAAATTGCCATTGAGTGAGAATAAAGGCGGCAGTTGAGTGTCAATTTAACAAGTGTGAAGTGAATGTGGAAATGTACAACAGAGAGCATATGAGAGTGATAATAGTGAATTAATATTTATAGTGAAAGCAAACTCAAATTAAAAGGAAAAGTAAAAATCAATTTTTTTTTACAGGGAACGATTAGAGAAGAGGTGCTAATATCAAATTAGAATAAGTGACTGGACAAAACTTTTTTCTGTATACAGAGTTCAGGGTTGTATTGATGAATTGCCAGCGAGCGCCTCCGCCATACACAAAAACCAAAACCTGACACCCTTTGTACCATTTGGCTTCACTTTGTAGATGATCTTGAAACACGACGAGCGTAGTGGATCTACGTGGCCTGAGTTCACCTAATGCTCGAGAATCGAGCTAGTAATTGTCTTAAATTCTCCCTTTGCTAACCATGCCGGATAATTTTCAGAGAAAGCATGAGCTTTGTGCGGCTAATATAACTAGCTCTGCACGAGCAGGTGAATTTATAAACACACATAGAGGTGGCCCCAAGCGACAGTTTATCCTTCACACATCTGTTGATCATTTGTAGACTGTAGACATTGATACGTAGCTCAGCTTAGGTCAGAAGGCTTTTCTCAGTGATTTGCATAAGTGATTCTTCAGAATCTCAGCTGCGGTAACACCTTTAAATTCAACATTCATAAATAACAGTTTCTTTGGCAACGTCTGGATTCTTTCAGGCTTTTCCCTTAACTTCACAAATCTTGTTCTTTATTCTTGAGTGCAGAATATTTCCAAACTGTTTAGCAGATAGAAAGTATACCTCGCCTTTCCCGTTCGGGTTAGTCTTGACATCTTTATCCGTTCCATCTGCCTTTGATTGAAAGGATGCTTCCTAGATGAGTGAAGGGAGTGATGAACTCCCGTTGATAGTGGTCGGTGGTGATTGTTGTTGTTGCTGTTGTTTTCGCCGTTATTAGTTGGTAAGGAATCTTTATCGCCTCCGTTTTTTATATATTCCCCTGAAGTCCTGTCTTTGTTAGCTACTTCTTCAGCCAGTTAGTTGGTTTTCGCCTGTAAGTTATCAGGTATTTGTGACATAAGAAATAAACCATCTGTGAAATCCAGGTCTTCTAGAGTCTGTTTATCGATCCAAAAGTATTCCTTGAAATTGAATTTTAGATTTTCACATCGATTGATTGGACCTAAGTACTCGGTCTCAGGTTGACATATCCCGTTGGCTTCTTGTGCAGATGCTTCAACGATGTCTGAGCATTTGTATAGAATTTAATTGGTGGATGGTGACTAGCAGTGGAATCCAGGATAAAGCACATTTCGTCCTATTTGCGACTCGTCTCGGCTGGAGGTACCATCCATTGTTGTACATACATTAGTTGACGAGTCATCAATAGGACGAAATACGCTTTATCCTGGATTCCACTGGTAGTCATCATCCATCATTGAAATACAAAAGTATTACTGTCTACTCAAACACCTCACTAACTGGCTAGTTTTCCAGCCGATCTCAAGTCCAGCGGAAAAATGGGAAGGCTAGGTGTCAGTGGGGCCAGCAACCCTACCTCCGAAAAAACCAATCAAACTACCACGGAGACTTCAACGCACATTTCTAATAACAAAGTGTAATAATAAAATAAACCAAGCTTTTCATCATCTTGAAGTGATTACATTGATTTCCTTCCTCCTTTTCTTACTCACAACAATACAGGATCACAATCTGTTATGTCAAGTCCAAAAAATCGTGGAAATTGGGTAGCCACTAGTACACTGAATAAATTTGATCAAAATTCCCCAACAAGTGGGACAACTAAAACAGATCATGATGCAACTCATCAACGATTTTATATAGATCCATCAAGTCCAATGATTATGCCTCGAAATAAACTAATCAATCGTACTCAATCATGGGGTGGAGGATTACGTTATGAGCATGCTAATCTAGAAGACATTTGTTGCGGTGATGATGATGATGATGATGACGGTGAAGAACATCGTCGTCGGTGTCACTCACCCCGACAGTCAATTCTACACATTTTATCCGATTCACATTCGAATAGGCGACAATATCTGCATGCAATGAAACCTACAATACCTTCTGCCATACCAAATGTTATTTATACTCTGTGAGTAATAGTCATGACCAGTTGAATCGGATTAAAAGATCAGCTACCTATGTGAGTATGCCTGATGTTAATGGACATCGACATTTGTCAAGACATAAACACAAAGATTATCATCATTGGATGACTACACATACTACTACTAATACTACTACTAATAATAATATCAGTAATAATCTCATCCATACAACTTCAACTATAACTTCTCGGGTGTCTGACAGTCTACCATCTAATAATTCTGGAATAACAATTGGATTTATAGGTATTGCTGCACAACCTACACCATTACGTGGTAGAGATTTTAAACCACCACAGGCGAAACGTCCACGTATTATTGACACATCAAAAATGCCTTCAGTATCACAGACTAGGCCTATTTCCCCTTCATCTTGTTCAACAATCACCGCGACAACCACTGATCATAGTGGTGATAATAATGATGATAGTATTAACAGTAGTGGGGAAGGTCATCATTCACAGATATTTTTAAATCCTGCCTATCGTCATTACCATCTACATCAACCACATCCCCTTCATCACCATCATCTGATGCTTTATCGATCGAATGGATTGCATAATAATAATAATAGTGATAATGATAATAATAATAATAGTAATAATGATAACAGCGGCGAGAAACCGGTCAACAAACGAATGACTACTTCCATTCAGCATTCTGCTAATTTAACCCCAACTGCTGACCACCTACATATGGTTTGTCATAAGGGAAGTGGTAGTGATGATAATAACAATAATAATAATAATAGCAATGAGCATGAAGTGAGCAGCACTCAAAGTGGTGACGAACAAGGAATGACACGAAGAAGGCGAAGAAGCAGTAAAGAACATTCATACGTTAAAGAAGAAAGACAACGAGGTGACGATGTAGAAGGTGAGGAGGAGGCTGAAGAGGAGGAAACTCTTTCACAAACAAATTCAAATGATGAAAATTCTGACCTCATTCAACCAGAAGATGATGATGATGATGATATGGATGTGGATGACTCAGAGAAATTTTCACCAGAAAGTAAGTGGTATGCCGTTCCTTTTTGAAATATGTATGCTGTTTTTTGTATGAATAAACATATACTACTGATTTAGAAAGAGGTAGGTAGTGTATATTTGCAGAGATTTTATTGGAAAAATCTCATTATAACATGTAGAAAACCAAAGAAGACACTCTTTTCAACGAAATTATTATCCAGCTGTACAATCGCATATATAGGGGCTTCAGCTGCACGTCTCCATTGCGTTCAGTTTTCTGTCAACTTTTTCACTCCGCTCCAGGTTTGATCACATGCTGTCATCTCCTCTTCACATGACCTCCTCCAAGTCACCCCACCGTGGGACGACCAACTCGCCGCCTCCCTTTCAGGTTCCACTCGAGCGATAGCTTGTCTAGTGATGTCACTTAATGGTTTGTTTCCTCAGAGTATGGCCACCAATCCATCTCCATTTCTTTCTGCCCGTTTGTGTCACAATCGGTTCCTGCCAGGTTGGTTCGCTCACTGCCAGAGATCCCTGTTGCTGATCTTTACTGGCCGGCCATCTGATCTTGAGTGGTATTGAGCGAAGACAACTGTTAATGAAGGCCTGTAGTTTGTTTGAGGTGCTCTTTATGACGCGCAGTGTAGGTCTCTGATCCGTATAGTAGCAATGACTTGATATTGGAGTTGAAAATCCGGATCTTATTTTTGATGCTGAGTAGTGAGTGTTGACCTCCACACTGGCTTGAGAATAATGAAAGGATGTCTCGCCTTTCCGATTCTGGCTTTGATATCTTCGTCAGTTCCGTCCGCCGGTAGTCGAAACGATTCTTCCCAGGTAGGTAGGTAAAGGAGATTGTTTCTTTCAGGTTCCTCCCATTTATGCTGATTGTTGTCTGTTGTTGTTGCTGCTGGCCATATATATATATATATATATATATATATAGTTTTTAAGAAGTTATATCCGGTGAGCGAATTAAATCAAAGGGGTGAATGCAAAAAATAATCGTAGTATTAATAAATGCAATTAAAATATTTGTGACTATATTCATAGTTAAATGCCAAGTAGCAAAATAGTTAATGTCATATGTAGAAAGGAATATTCTCTGCCACATCTTCAACCATTACTGTTCAATAACCTGAAAGACAAGATCCCATCTCTGACCAACTCTATGCGCCTTTATCAATTTACCTGCTCGTATGAAGCAAGGTATATCAGTAGTTCGACTCGAGTTTTGTCCAAGAGGGTGCAAGAACACTATCCTGCTGGTGGTTACGAAGAGGTGGAAGTGGAGCAATAAGAAGCGAGATCATTGAACATCCGGTCAATAACGATCACCCTACCTGTATAGCCTCCTCCGCCTTTAATGTCATCTACAAGGCAAAGGGAAATCTACCCAAATCCCTACGTACCCGACTCATCTGTATTACTGAAGCTTTGGCTATCGAAACAGAAAAGCCAGAGATCTGTGTACAGAAAAAAGTTCGTTCAACCCCTGCAACTTTCATGATCTTAATCCCTCGTGTATGCTAAAGTCTGGTTATTAATATAAGAATAAAACTTGTGCACTGTGGTAGAGTGTAATTCCATTATGGGTAAATTTTGTTTTGATAAAGTCTCACAGTGTTATACAGTAATGTTTACTGATATGATATGATTATGAGCAATAAATTGTGCTCGAAACGTCATCAGTAAACATTACTGTATAACACTGTGAGACTTTATCAAAACAAAATTTACCCATAATGGAAAGTCTGGTTATCCCTGCCCATATTTTGTTTGTTCAATTTGTATACTCCTCCTTTACATTACATTATATTGCTACGATTGTCATTCTCACTTTGAACTGTCCCCCCGGTATTATTTCACTCGATCCACTTGTCATTCTAAATCAATGCCGTTTTGCAAAATTAATTTCTATGTTATCGAATTTCACACAACGTTACGCAACATTTTTACTTTTATTCGATTCGCCTAGTAATCTTATCATTGCATACCTCTTCCAAATTCTATACATACTATGAATTATTCTATATATGACATTAATTGATTTGATACTTAATATTTGATATTTTATTATGATTATAATCACAAATATTTTACTCGCATTTCATACTACGTAACGTCTTAGAGACCATATATATATATATATGTAACAACAGAAGACAAGGGCCAGGCAAAAGATCGTTTTATTACGGAAATCAGCACGTATTTATACATATTTCATGTACATTATTAAAGCTATGCAAGTAGAGAAAGGCAGTCTTCTGATTGGTTGTTTTCGAGATTTCTAGGAAGGTGGAGCCATCTATCTGCAAATCATATTTACACACGTTTAAGTCTGCTGTGATTGGTTGTAGAATCAGCCTTGTTCATATTTTCTCACGGCCAATATTAGTGACCTAGACATTGACATAGATTAATGTCTACCAATTAGCTAGCAGCCTGCTCTCTCCATATATATATATATATATATATATATATATATATATATATATATATATATATATATATATAGGGAGAGAGAGAGAGAGAGAATAAATACGATTATACACCAGATTATGAAAATTATACATCGAAAAGAAAATTCTCTTCATCACTATATACGTCTTTCCTTTTTCTTATGACTTTATGTATTATAGTAACAACACAAGGCAAGACAGGAATGCCAAGGTATATTTCATTAATCTAACCGCTATTTACATATCTACAGTTTATATCAACCATTGAGCAGGTGATTTCGGTTCACGTCAAACAATATGAATGCTCGAATATACATCGTTATGATGGGAAAGATTTGTACCTCAGGTGGATGATTTTGATGTGGTTGTGTTCTCTGACGTAGTTGGGTGGATGGTTTATAGTTGCGAAGCTTTCATTATTGCCCCCTACTGAGCAACATCTTCATCATATACGCTTCAATTCAATGTGCGTCGGTGGCACAGTGGTTAGTACTCTCGCCGACCATGCACATGGTCCGTGGTTCGAGCCCTCGCCGACGCACACCTGATATCTATGGTCGGCCTGCGAAATTCGGGCTACCGATATCCACGCTGAAAATTCCATACTTGTACCAAAAATACAGTGTGGAATCAAGCTGTAATCAAAAATAAAATAAAAAAATAAAAATAAGTGAGGTTTTAGATTTCTCCACGAATTTATTATTAGTCATCTCTCCCGGTGGGTGACCTTAAACGTAACTCTTTGGTTGTTCTCGTGTGTGTGTTTCGCCACGGTTTAGGCCACCACTTGTATTGGAACTGATTGTTTCCTTGACTTGATTTGAATTTTGACCCTTTTTGTGTGTGTGAGATTTCCTTCTTATCGGTTCGTAAATTTTGTCTATCTCGATGTGTCTATTGATTTATGATTCACTGAAATACCAAGTAGGCTTCTAAAAATTCTCTAGCATTCTTCGTGTTTCCTCTGTCTAATATGCGAGCCCTGGCTATCCCAGTCGAATTCATGTCTGTGATTGTCTTTTATATATATATATATATATATAAAGGACATCTCAGAAATCACCGCAGGACTATTCAAACTTTTAGGAATTGACTTCGCACACAAACCAACAAAATCAGTTCAATCAGCTCTGTTTCAACCGAAAGACTCAACAATGAAAGAAGATAAAACCAACATCATCTACAAAATAAATTGTAACAACTACGAAAAAAACCATACTGGCTAAAGTGGACGTTCTCTTGGTCTTCGAATCCATGAACAGAAGCTAGTCGTCAAAAGACACGACATCCCCTCCCTCATATCACTGCATACAGACAATAACGGAAATGAATTCGACTGAGACAATCAGCGTTCAAATATTAGATAGGGAAACACGAAGAATGCTAGAGAATTTTAGAAGGCTGTCTGGTATTCCAGTGAATCATAAATCAATAGACACATCGAGATAAACGAAATTTACCAACCGATAAGAAGGAAATCTCACACACACAAAAAGGGTAAAAGTTCAAGTCAAGTCAAGGAAACAATCAGTTCCAGTACAAGTGTTGGCCTAAAGCGTGGCGAAACACACACACGAGAACAACCAAAGAGTTACGTTTAAGGTCACCCACCGCGAGAGAGATGACTAATAATAAACTCGTGGAGAAATCTAAAACCTCACTTCATTGAATTGAAGCGTATATGCTGAAGATGTTACTGAGTAGGGGGCAATAATGAAAGCTTCGCAACTATAAACCATTCAGCTAGCTCAAAGAACGCTACTACATCAAAATTATGCATAGCATTCTGTTGTTAATTTAGTATATAACCGCGGGAAATGTATTCTATATCTAAGATTAAAGGGAACATTCAAATAGATATATCGTATTCTTTATAAAATTATATTTGTTTACTCTCAGCGAAATTGAAATGATTAATTCCAACGTTTCTTGACTTCGGCATTCTGGTCCCAACTTCTTCAGGGAAATTAATCGAAATTAACATGACAGAGGTTAATATATATAAAAGGAAAATCTTTTGTTTTTTAAAACTTTGTCCAGTCATATGAATCATAAAACAGGTATCAACGTGTATAATAAACAAAAATTGTATGAACTGTGATCAAAATTTGACTTCAAACTTTCAAAATTTGTCTATTTTTGTTAAAATATATATAAATGTACAGTATACAATGGTGTGTGTGTATGTGTGTGGGTGAACAGTCATAAAACATTTGTTAGCCTCTCCATAAGAAGACGTAGACAATCGGGAATTTGACCAAGTGTGACTAGTTGTTGATACATATCCAATTTTATTGATTAGTCTGGATTTGTCATGTATCAGCTAACAAGATTACACCTTCACGTCTGTTCAAACTGTTGGGATTCACCCATGTATATATGTAGGGCTTCTGCAGTCATTCACTCTTTATACGAACCAAAACCTTTCTGTAAAAACTTTAGTCTTATCAAAGTTGATTTTGTGTCCCGTTTCTATCGAATGCTGTGCAATCACTGAGTTGTTTTCTAGCTTCTTCAACTCTGTGGAGGTCTTTGGAACCACATTTAGAAACTTTTTATGCCTGCTCACTTTTATATTTACCTGTCTGGAAATTTCTCCTACAGATATGGCGTTACAATCCCCACAATTGATCCGGTATACACACAATTCTGTTGGTTTTCTTGTTCTATTTTATCCTTAATCTTCACCAGTAATGAGTGTTAGGTGTTAGTTGCACAAAAATACACTCTTATGTTATGATCGTTAAGGTTTTATCCGTATGAACAGACGTGAAGGTGTAATCTTGTTAGCTGATGCATGACAAATCCCGACTAATCAATAAAATTGGATATGTATCAACAACTAGTCACACTTGGTCAAATTCCCGATTGTCTACGTCTTCTTATGGAGAGAATGACAAATTTATAAAATATCATATTATATTTGTAAAAAATCGCAATTGTTTTGCAACTATCCGATTAAATCTTGATCACAGTTCATACAATTTTTGTTTATTATACATGTTGATACCTGTTTTATGATTCATATGATTGGACAAAGTTTTTTAAAACAAGAGATTTTCCTTTTATATATTAACCTGGCCATACGCTGAGGAAACCATCAAGTGACATCACTAGACAAGCCATCGCTCGAGTGGAACCCGAAAGGGAGGCGGCGAGTTGGTCGTCAGTGCAAGGGTGACTTGGAGGAGGTCATGCGAGGAGGAGATGAAAGCATGTGGACAGACCTGGAACGGGATGAAAAAGTTGTCAGAAAACAGAAGGCAATAGAGGTGCGCAGCTGAAGCCCTATGTTCCTCTAGGAACTAAAGGATACAATAATAATAATAATACTAACCTCTGTCATGTTGATTTCGATTAATTTCCCTGAATAAGTTGGGACCAGAATGCCGAAGTCAAGAAACTTTGGAATTAATCATTTAAATTTCGCTGAGAGTTTACAAATATGCTTTTTTTTACAAATGTCTACTTCTCGCTCGGCAATCAATCATTTTGCAACTATCCAGTCAAATCTTGATCATAGTTCATGTGAATATACCTTATTCTGTTTTTGTTAATGCCGAATTTAACTGTGGGAATATGTGAGAATATAATATTCCATTGGTGCAGGTTGTCTGTATCACACCACCACTATTATCCCTAGCCATAGCCTATTCTGCAGCTAAGCTCGTTCCCGTCTATCGAACAACTTACTCCTTAATGCAATCTAAAATGGATAGATATCCTTCTCTTGTCAACTCCAACTGTATATACAAATTTACATGTATCTGCGGGAGCAGTTACATTGGAAGGACAGGAAGAAGAAGGGCATATCTACGATTCTCTGAACATGTACCAAAAAGCTTACGTCTAGAGGGAACAAATGCTTTAAACGGTGCCATCGCAAGGCATCTCCTCGACACGGGTCATGAGGTGGGTGTCGAAAAGTCGTTCAAAATTATCAATCGGCGCAAAAGAGCTCAATTCTCCTTAAGGTTGCTGAAGCCATTTCCATCAAGTGCCTGAAACCTGATTTATGCGTCCAGAAAGAAGCGGTTATCAGTCTTTCTTTGCCCTGCCCTGGTAACTGGATAATTTCACATCTCTTTCTTCCGAATGCGAAATGCTAGAAGTTTCCATTGTGTATGATTATTATTGTTCGAAATAGTGCCTAATATTGCATATATATATATATATATATATATATATATATATAGTGTATGCGTATATTGATCGATTGATTTTTGTTTAAACTTAACTCTGTGCAAGTATGTTAAAATTGTTGTTGTAGATATATTTATTAATGTCTTTGCCATGTAAGCAGCTGACGAGAAGGCAACGAAATAAACACTGATGGTACCATTTTCTTCTGCTAAAACTGTAGTTCTTGCTTTGTTCAAATTCATTATGTCATTTGTGTGTTTCATATTATAAGAATGAAATTTCATTAATTTTTTCTTTTCTTCTCGGTTTCTCATATTTCCTCAACTTTTTTTTTCATACTCTCCAGTAAATTCAACATCTCTATCAGAAACAGAAACCTCATCCGCATCCCCATCCCCATCGCCATCAGCATCACCGTCATCAACATCAACATCACAAAGACATTTCATACCATCCACTCCGATACTCCACGATGAAACAATTAAAGTCACTGTATATCCATATGAACCACAGCATGGAATACGTTCAGCAATTAGTCAAACATCCTACAGACCACAATCATCACAAAAACACTCATCACCTCTACCATCTTCCTCTCCACGACATCATCTTCACCATCATGATCATCATCATAAACAATTTGTCAATTCCTCAAGAAGTAGTCAATCACAAATACGTTCAGATGAACAAACTATGCCTAAAATGTCGACAACAGATGTTATTTATGAATATGAAGCCTAAATACAAGTGCCTGGCATATATATATATATATTTAGATAGACATATATTCGTTTATATGTATATACATATATATATGCATATTCAATGTATCTATTAGAGCATTACCATCACACCAACACTATTTATACCTATTGAAACATTTAACAAAAAACATTCTGTATATGGCGGGCTCATTTTTTTCTCTGCCTTAGTTTGCCTTAGTTCTAGGAGAATAACATTACTTTTAATAATAATGATGCTAGTAACTGTAATCATAGCGACAATTGGTGTGATGTCTAAAATTGCCCTCACTCCAAAGATCTTTTAAAACTGCATACATTACTGACAAGTTGTATGCGCACTCCTCATTTCGGATAAGTAGCCTCCCCCTCCTCCTTATTCTTCTTCTTCTTCTTCTTCTTCTTCTTCTAAAGGTGATCGCTTTTATTCCTATTTCTCTTGTTTTGTTTAATTAGGTATTTTTCTTATTATTGCTGTTCCGTTGTTGTTCAAACCTCGTAGGTTAGAAGTAGAGGTGCAAATGCGCTTTTTATTAAAAAAAAAACAGGCAACCAAACAAACCGAAATACCATTGAACTAGATCTACTTGTCATTTACAGTAATTCCGCCCCTCCCGTCCAGCCCTCTCTTCCAACATACACACACACACACATACACACACAAACGCACTCATGCTTCCTGACCCTGTTTCATTTCTATACACCCCCCCCAGTTACTTTTTATATAACCTCTATACTCTATGCGTATACTGATTGAAACAAATCGATACAAAAAGAAGGAAATATTCCATAATGACCTTGAAGAAGACAATACCTATATACACATTTAAACAAAGCCATTTTTAAACCCAAACCATTTTTCAAAATAAGATAAAATTTTCAACAATCCTGGTGATAACATTTTCCCCTTTTGTTTTTCTTCTTAAATATAGTTGCTAGTTTTCTTTTTTTTTAAGAATAAGATGAACAAGCTAGGAGATGTGAAAACAAAACATGTTTGTTTAAATGCATTAAGTAGAAGCCATCTGTGACCTTGAAATCAGCTAGTCGCGCGTCAAATAAACAATCGATTAATCATTTAATTAATTAATCATCTTTCTAGGTTATATATGTATATTCAAGAAGACGTGTATAAAAAAAGAGTTTGGCTGTCAACAAATTAAAGTTATATAGCTTAGAATTAATTGTACAATATTCTTGACATGTTTTGCATCAGTTTTATTGGCAACGGTGTTGGGCATGTTTGATTTCTTCTCTAAATTTTACTTTTTCTTTCTTCCTTCTCTACTTTTTTTCTCTCGCTGTGTGTGCGTATGTGTGTGTGTGTGTGACTAGATTTTTAAAATTCACCGCTTTATTTCTCTTCCAAGTTTGTTTTTTTGTTTCTAAATCTGACTTAAAAATGACTTAAATGATTTTATCCACATTTAACATTTTATTTCCCTACTGTATACACACACACACACACACACATAGAATCCTACCAAATTTTACATTTTTCCCACATATATATATATATATATACGTACTAAAACAAACCTTAGATGTAATTACAACAAAATAAAGAATTGGGAATATCAGTAGATGGTGGTAAAGTTGAAGAACATGAAGAGATGAGGAATTTCAGGAACTTTTATCTTCCCACTGAGTGGAAGGAAGATTATATATATATAAACATACATATATTTGATTTGAGATAGTAACGAATTGTATTCTGCTTCTCTTTTGTTCTAATTTATCACCGAATGACTGGTTTCAACGTATAACTTTCCACAGATGTTCAGCATTTTGAATTGCCACACTCCCTCCATGTAGCACACAAAGCCCGAGGAGAGAGTGAAGACAGATTAGAAAGAGAGAGATAATAAACAGAAGTGTAAGTGAGGGAAGAAGAATAGCAGTAATATGGAAGATCAATAGAGCTCTATTGTATACGACAGATCACAGAGATGGGATGCGCTTGCGTCGGGCATTGACAAGGATGACTTTGAGCCATATCACTGATTGTCTCCAGCCGTCATGGGTTCTAACCATACCGAGGACCGCAACCAGACAGTAGTTGACATCTCCCTACGCGATTGGCTGGCTGACTGGCTTAAACTAACTGTTATGGATTTCATCGGTGACTGATGAAGCCATGATTTCGTTTTGACCACCATCACTAGCTAACTCTTTTCCAACCTGATCCATCCCATGTCAGTCAGCTAATATTGGCTGTTGTCGAGGAAGGTGATGCCTAGGCATAACACATGTGTCCTTACCATCTCAATCGATCCAGCTGCTTTACACAAACTCATCGATCAATTTCTCTCCTCCTTACTTGACGCACTTGACGTATGTTTCACCAACTCAATAATACTCACCCTGTTACACTTACCATCTAACACACACACACACACACACAGGAAGTTGAACACAGACAGTCAGCTATGATCAGATTCCACTAGCTGGCAGGCCTTCTCAAGTCTTCCACTTTCAGTGGTCATGTCTCACTCAAAACCAGCTATGAAGGTGGAGGAAGTGAATTACTGCTGTGCAGTAGAGACGTCCTTTGATTAACAGGTAGCCGGTGATCATGTCTGTGTTAGAGATGGCGTAAGTTGGCAGGAAAATGCCAAACAAGTCTTCTGTATCCGTAATGAAATTTCGTCAGCGATCAATCCGTTGGGGCTGGGTGATGGATGCAACTTCCCTTCAAATGAGTGAAGTGGTCAACACGCTCAGCGTCCACTTCAGGAGTCAATGTAGTCCAGTCCAGTCCCTTCCATTCCTGTAGTTTCATCTTACATTTGACAGCGGCAAATTGCATGCCAAATGTTTAGAGCCTGATTAAACTTTTCATACATTCACCAAAACCCAACTCATAAATTAGTGCACATTAAAATCATACCAAAAACACTCAGAAGAGTTTAAATTATCATAGCCACAGTCAAGATATAAGTATAAAACTTGGGCACTGTGGTAGAATAATAATTCCATTATGGATAAGATTTTATTTTGATAAATCACACACAGTGTTGTACAGTTATATTAACTGATGACGTTTCGAGCACAAACTATTGCTGCTAATAATCGTATCAAGCTGATATGATTATTGGCATATCGCTAGCAAAGCCAAAAGTGAACAGGATGTTTGAAGGTGTTAGAAAAGCATATTTACTGGCGTAAGCGGTAACAAAAAGGTCGAGATATACAGATTGTGAAAGAACGAAGAAGAGTGCTTTAAATAGAGTTTGTAAGGAAGAAAGAAACAAAGCAGCACATAACAGAGAAACAAAGAGAGAGAGAGAAAAGGAAAAGAAAGAAAGAAAACGTTGTACCTATAAATGATGATGTGACTTGGAAAGACGAGATCCAATTGTTCTACTGACCATTTAATAAGTTATAGGTATCACGCCTAATGCTTTCTTTATCGCACAGAACACGAGCTAAGTAGGGTATGGATGAGTTTTTGTACTTACTAGTGCGGGCATATAGTTTCCCATATAGGCTTCTGGTCCTGGCTGGTGAGACAGATACAAGGGGAGACTTGTGAATGAAGAGGGTGGTGGTGTGAGTTAGATAGATAGAATGGATTTAGCCCATTTTGCACATGAGTCCATGTGTCTGTCGACCAGAATATTAACAAGCTGGTTAAGTGGCACCTTGTGGCTTACCCTGCTGACAACCTTTAACATCCTGCGTAATAAGGTATAGTCTTTCTTCAGTAGCCTTGGAAAAAACTAGGAGGGAACAATAGACAATAATAGGCAGGATGCAGGAGTTAACAAATTGTAGGAGTAAGGGTTGGGTTACACCAGAATGTCTTAACTTCTTGATGTAAAAGGTAAGATAGGGAATATTTTCTTAGAAATCATCAAGATATGTGACGATAAATAAGGAAAGATCAGCAGATAGAAAGACGCCAAGATATTTAATTTCCTACTTGCTTTCTATTTCAGTGCCATGTATGTTGCACACCTTGTGAGTGCTACCCGGTTTGTTTAAGTCAGATTTATGCCTTAAGGTGAAATTGACTGTTTGACATTTACAGAGATTTAAGGTTAGACCGTTTTCCTTGGACCACTACTGGCTGATTTTTGATAAAAAGCCATTTAATTTAAAGCCGTAACTTTGACGTTTGACAGCGTCAATATCATGTCCATAGTCCACATGATGTTTTGTTATTGAGGATTTTGGCACTTTGCTTTGCATTCAGCTGTTTTCAACCATTTTGGCAAATGCTCTATCATGCGAGTAGACCATCACCTTTCTGTACGACCTATGATAAAGCATGATCGTTAAAATCACGTTTTATACTCTGGCGAGTATTTTAAATGGGCTTACAACTTCATGATTCGCAAGTTTCTAGTTATCGTGAGAAGAAAACAAAAAAGTAATCATCTGTTGGCGGAGAGATAGCTAGCAGTTCTTCGACTGTGTCCTTGGTTCACAGACTGGAATCACAGAGATCCAACCAATTCAGATGCAATCACCTAAGAAGACAAAGGAGAGACATCATTATTTCTTCGTATGAGCTTCATGTCAGGCAGAAGTGTGTTTCCCATGGCCTACCGTCACGTGGTATTTTATTTGAAGATCTTACCTGGATTATGAGAAAATATCATGTAGCAAACTAGGCGGGAAATTCTGTACAATATATAAACGCTGTACAGAATTGATATGTATCCACATGATGTGTGTTTTGTTTTTTGACAGTCCATTATATTTTGCTATGTGTAAATGGATCGATATTTCATAATAAGTGACAATATGCTTTTGTCTGTCCACTAACTAAATAAACAATGTATGACCTTGTTATCACATGACATTACAACCAATCATGGTAAGGCGTTATCTTATTGGTTCATGTGTATCAGCCATTTTCATATATACTCTTGCTTTATCATTCTTGTACACACATTTCGTACATTCGTACAATTTCACTCACATACTTGTATGACATTTATTTTCCTTGTCTGGAAAATACAAGTATCATCGTAAACCTGGTGGCCTTCTGATTTCCCTCTTTCGCGCGTCAGGACTATTAACTACTTGACGAGTACAGATTAAGAATAAACCTATTATTATTATGGTCGATAGAGGTAGCTTTAATGAAAACAAAACACGTAGATCAGCGAAGAGTCTCTTTTCATTTCCTTAGCTGCACAATCGCAAATATATGTGTTATTTTGTACGTATGTGTACATTAAGTTTAGTATTAGATGGTTGGAGGCAATCGGCTACAGGAAGCCTTCGATTTAGGTTTCGTGTTAATTCGCACTCATCAGCAAGGCGTATCTGCAACCTTGAAGGAACTCAAATCCCTTCTGAGGAGATTCGAACCTGCGTCACCCAGTGGGACTGCAGTCAGAGACGTTATCACTGAGCTATTCGGGCTCGGGATTGACCTCATGTAGGAATGTATTGGATATTTTCGATTGCACGCTAGTCAGTAACTATGTGAATGGCCAGAGCTTCAGAGATACAAAGAAGACGAAACCGTATTGCCTTTGATAGGTTATTCTTTACTCTGTAGATTACTTTGAAGCAGGAGGCGTTCGTTGAAATGGAATGATCAGTGTTAACCAGATGTTCAATTATCGAACTCCTTTTTATACCACTAATGCCTTTTTGCAACCATGCTGGATAGTGTTCTTGAATCCTCTTGGACAGGGTGCGCGTAGAACGACCGATGTACCTGGCTCCACAACAGTAGGTGAACTGATATAAGCACACAGAAGTGGTAAGTTGCGGGATCTTGACCTTGAGGCTTCTGTAGATCAGTGGGCGACTGGAGAACACTATTCTTAGTGTCGCTGCAAAGGATTTTCTTCTCAGAGATGATGTGATCCTTCTCTTGAGAATACCGCTTGCTAAATCTCCCTTGAAATCCAAGTTCATGTAGAGTTTCTTTTTAGGTGCAATTAAAGTTTCATTTATCCGAATTATTGGTTGGATATTTTTGTCGATAAATCTTATTGGGTATCGATTTTGGATGAAGATTTCTCTTGGAATATCTAATTCTGTTTCCAGAACGTCGGGACTACAGATGCATCGTCGGATGCGGGTGGTAAGTGATTTAATCCAATTCCGCTTTTGTTGAATGGATACCCAGCTATAGAAGCTTGTTAGTTGACGATTCCACGTAGGTTTTCTATGGGTCGATCTTCATAGATTCCCATCAGTTCTTCTTATTAGTTCACATCAAGAAACGGAATTTTTGACTCGTTTTCCATTTCAAGAATGAATTTGACAGAACGTAGCCTGATCTCTACACTGCAGTGGTATCAAAATTGCACTGTACAAACAGCATCATGGAAGTTACAGACGATTGCTGATTGTCTTGTAGGAGTAGACGTAATTGTTCACATCAGTGAGACTGTCCTCATTAGGAAAAAGTATAGTAAGGGAAGAAGGGAAGGCTAATCACACATGGATACTTGGAATCTACAAGACTTCACTTCGCAAAGGTTTTGTAGAAAAAATTAATAGGCAACAGAAGTGCCAGAGCATTAATTTCAATCATTTGGCGCTTGATATTTGTCAGGCGACGAGGTTATTCAACACATTACATCTAGAACAAATAGTCGAAAGTGTTAATTTCACCTCAGTTGGCAATGTTTATTTCAATGAATGATCTCAAACCTATCGTACAGTTACAGCAAGCTCAGAATCTCTCACTCAGAAGCTGTTCATTCTGGTTCCTTCGATATCTCATCCAGATAAATATAAAAGCATTTTAAATTCTCTCTGTCCAAACCAAGTTCACTTTTCACAGTTTGAAAAAATTTGGGCATTCAGTATGTTGATATATTCATTATAATAAAGGTTTTCTTGTATTTCCCAATGAATGAAAGACAAAACGATTGTCAGCCACGTCTCATAAACCGTTAATGCCCAGCTCTGGCTACACTCTGACTCACGCTGTTCCTTGAAGTTTCTCAGAAACGCTTAGCAATAACGGACGAAAAAACCAAAACACCAATTGGCGACTCGAGGATTCTTTATTGTAACACCAACATATAAACAATGTTATAACTAAGGTCTGTGAACAAATATTACAATAATAAATCACAATATTACTTCTGACGGTTTTCTGCTGACTTCTTTCTGAACAGCGACCGATGAGACGATGACTGTCGTATTGATGCCTCCGCGAAACTTGGGGAAGTTGGTTTTGAACAAACAACCATGAATTGATCGTTCAATCTTCAACTACACTGACAACGATATTCTTGCTTTTACTGACGTCTCGCTATTTAATGCTAATAGCTTTATCAAAGCAGTATTATTAAACCGGAATTTACAAAATCCACTCAGCATATATATAACAGAGAGTTAAGAGGTGAGAAAATCGACAAGTTAGGTCAAGCTAAAGGGATGTATAGAAAGTCAGAAAAGCAATGAAGATCACTAAACCAAATAACAAAGGGTTATAGTATGTCAGTTATGATATCAAAACAAAGTTTACTAACTTGATCTTCGTTCTTCCGTCTGGGGTTGTTTTTTTGTTGCCGACTTGGTCAATTGGTAAAGATAACAAAACCAGGTGTGCAGATTGTTGGATTCGATCAGTGTGTAAAATTATAAAGCAGCGTGTGTTTACATAGTGAACTTGCTTATCACATTCGTGTTGATTTTGTCACTTCGTTGGGGAGGGGATGGAGGTGTTGTAACCATGTCAGATTCTGCTTTAGTTCATCATTACTATTCAAGCAATTTGGATTCCACTTGATGATATGAAGTGCTTCTGATGATATGAGACGTTCTTGGT